GCTCGAGTTTTACTATTATTGCTCTTTCTATGTTTACCTACGGTAGGCCTATGAAATCTTACAGATTTATGGGATGTACGTCTGTACTGTAACTAACTGTGACCTTCTTGTAGGTTATTAAATGTTAGTATAATATCTACAACAACAACAGCTAGTACCCCCTTGTATAAAGTGTAGATAGGTACAGTAATACCAAAGGCTAGAGAGAAAGAGGATAAACTATAAGCTCCCTAAACTAGGCCTAGGTCCCTAGGTCCTATAGGCTGATATTAACAGTCCAGTTCACATTACGTTGATTGAAATTTTGAAGAAAAAAGGGGAAAAAAATTGAAGCATAAAATAAAAAATAGAGTGCATAAGAGAAATATTATTAAATAATAATAAATAAAATATACCATTCTTGGCCAAATTATCCTTGTAATGTAATTAATGTCTGTCTCTTATACACATCTCATTATTAAAAAAATTACCATCATACAAAGAAGATAATTATGTGTGAATATATTTCTTTTCATAAAATGAAATACATTCATAAGAATATTGAGGAAATAGTAAATAAAAGTGATAAATGTATAATAATAATAATAATAATAATAATAATAATAATAATAATAATAATAATAATAATAATAATAATAATAATAATAATAATAATAATAATAATAATAATAATAATAATAATAATAATCATCATCATCATTTCAGCATTATTTACCTATGGCCTAAGCCTTGTAATCAAGAACCTACATATGGAAAGCCGAGTCCGCCAAAAATACTAAACACAATCCATTCAACGACAATTCAAACGCACCAAATTCAAATCATTCAAACATATTCCAAATTATTCAATAGGACGTCACACCATTCAGGTAATACTCACACCATCACATTCAAGGTGTGACCATCTACCCCTAAAGCAAACCACAATATTCAAGACCATCTAATATAAACTCAAACCGACTAATGAATACTGAAACAGATCAGTCATAAGTTACTTAATTCGACGTCAAGACAAACATCTATTATTCACGTCTTTCTGTTAAAACAACATCATCCAACACAAAAAACATTTTGTTTACTCGTTTGCCCAACCATTGAGCGTGAATCCAATCCATTCAGTTGTTTTTCGTTCAACTACTGTGAACACCGAACCATGCAGTGATAAATCAGTTCATTCAGCTACTTTTCAAACTCTGGGTTTTCAAATTCCTACAATTCATACAACTTCTCTGTACACCGAACAACAGTGATAAATCAATTCATTCAGCTACTTTTCAAACGCCGAGTTTTCAAATTACTACAATTCATACAACTACTCTGTACACCGAACCATGCAGTAAAATCAGTTCATTCAGCTATTTTTCAAACGCCGAGTTTTCAAATTACTGCAATTCATACAACTACTCTGTACACTAAACCATGCAGTGATAAATCATAATAATTATAATAATTATTATAATTATAATAATTATAATAATTATAATAATTATAATAATAATAACTATAATAATAATAATAATAATAATAATTATAATAATAATAATAATAAATAATTATAATAATTATAATTATAAATAATAAATAATAAATAATAAATAATAAATAATAAATAATAAATAATAAATAATAAATAATAAATAATAAATAATAATAATAAATAATAATCATTTCGGCATTACATGTAATTAACTTGGTCTAGCCATGTAATCACGAACCTGCAGATTACTATGATTAATATTAATAACTAGGCTTAGGCCTCATTTATACATTCATTGGTGCTCTGCCATTTTGGCAGGTCTTGCTCTAGTATTTTAGAGCTGCCTATTCTCAGCTCTTCTTTTAATTTGAAAATAACTGTCACCCTGTTTCATTTGATGAAGAAACGCGCTTTTCCTTACTCTTTGTGCTTTCCACAGAAAGCGTATATTTTTAGTAGTTAGGAGGCCTAGGTCATTATTACGAAAGCCTATTAGGGCCACTGAAATATATATTTTTATGTCGTATTCAATTCAATTCAATTCAATTTAATGGATATCACTTTCGTAACAGTGGCACACGGTGACAATACCCAACGGTGCATCCAAATATAAGATGAAAATAATAAACTTAAACAAGGGGTAAATTAAACTAAAATGTGTATACAAAGTAAAATTGATCAACATGGCATGTAGGTCTATGTGGTATGGTAGTCTTACAGGACCGTATTATTTACAGAGTTGCTGTATGAATTGCAAGTTAATATGGAGCTAGAACTAACAGACCCAATTCATGGGTTCATATTTACTACAGTAACACATTCAAAGGAAATAAAAACACTAACTAACTAAGAAAGAAAACATTACAAGATATTTATAACAAAATATAGAGCTTAAAACTAACTGATCATAAAGGTTCATATTAACAGATTAAAAGGAAATACAAAAACTAATTAAAGTGTAACGGGTGGTAATGTGGCCATGGATTTATATATTTCAGATCTTAATTTCCATGCGCCTTCGAGAAATACCTTACAATAATTATCAAATATTTCTGCTAATTTATGGTTACCAAATTGGTTATTAAGATTATCGAGAAATAAATGATGTTTATAATCTAACGATCCGGTAATAGATGATTCCCAAAATTCATCTAATACCCATTTAACAAGGTCATTTTTTAAATCATTATAAACATTTTCTCTAAATGGCTGGAATTTATCACAAATAAATAAAAAATGGTCGGTTGTTTCTTTTAAATTTAATATGTCGTAATTTCGACATATTATGTCGGAATTTCGACATAATAATTGTCGAAATTTCGACATACGGTAATATGTCGAAATTACGACATACGTATGTCGTAATTACGACTTATTATGTCAAAATTTCGACATAATAATTGTCGAAATTTCGACATAATATGTCGAAATTACGACATACGTATGTTGTAATTACGACTTATTATGTCGAAATTTCGACATAATAAGTCGTAATTACGACATACGTATGTCGAAATTTCAACATAATAAGTCGTAATTACGACATACGTATGTCGTAATTTCAACATAATAAGTCGTAATTACGACATACGTATGTCGTAATTTCGACATAATAAGCCGTAATTACGACATAAAAATATATATTTCAGTGGCCCTAATAGGCTTACGTACAAAACCCAAACTAAAAAATAAAAATTGTCACAGTATGTAACTCAAGTTAAAATAACATTTTTCATTACTGATGCAGCTCAATCAAATATTATATGTCATTTTAAACGACCCATTAGTATTAGCACGGTAACATCAATGTATTCTTAAAAATTAGACATATCAGAAGTTGTTGATGACCTTTTGACCTGAATTCTGCAATATCAGATTTTCGGGTCGATTCAGTCGAGACGGCCCGAGTATTATTATTATTATTATTATTATTATTATTATTATTATTATTATTATTATTATTATTATTATTGTCATTTCATAAAACAAATAAAATAACAAATAAACAAATTAAGGTTCCCGTAAAATAAGGGGTAACTGTAGTTTCTGATTACATAACTAAACAAACCAAAACTTTAATATAATGAAGGAACTCTGTATTTATTCCATAAAATAGATGATTATTCCCAAATAAACAAGAGATAAATAACACCTGGACTTTTAGACATGTTGTTTATATGGCAT